ATTCTACAGTTATGTTCTAGAAATCATTTGGGATTTTAGAATTGCCAAAATGCCAGTTTTGCAGCATTCTCTGAAATTATCAGGAAATGATGCAGTTTCTATCTCATCACATAGCAGATTTCCTAGTAACTGTTCACAATTTTCTTTTGAAAGTCAATCAGGATGTATATGTTACTGACTTGGTGAGAGTTTACTTGAATTTTCTATCACTAATCCTGTTTTAGAGCAATGGAAATTTTAGCAACATACTTCTGAGATTCTGGAATCACTTTGCGTGGAAGGCTTCAAAAGTATTGAAATCTGTGTTTTTTATGGAATCAGTTGAATAGGAATACTAAGTCTTATTGTAATAATGGTGACTTTCGTACACTGCTGTTTGTTAGACATTGTGCTATAATAGTTCTTTAATCCTAATCAATTGAAATTGCATGCTTGAGTTTTCTCCATTTGTCTTTCAGAAAAAGCAAGCTTCTGTGAAGACCTTTAAAAGGTCTTGCTTCTGTGTAGTGCTGGGGAGCTGCCAAAATGAGTTCTGGCCAAGTGACCTGAAGGAGTTTGATTTCTGAAAATCTTGGGCTTAATCAACAGACTTTTTGGGTGCCCACCTTGACACCTTTAAAAAAGCATATCTTTTCAGATAGCGTACAGTTCCTGAAAATCACGTCAAGATGGGCACCTAAAAAAATGGCATCACTTTTGAAAATCTTGGTCAATTGTACTGCCCTGTTATCCAAGAAACTAGTGGTTTGATTATTAGTTGCTAATTGGAAAACATGAAATTGGCTTCACTTCTATGAAGAGATGCAGTGGGAATGTTTGGACTTTAGCTCGGTCAGTCACAGCACAATTTCTAGATATTAGTCATTTTGCCAATGACTGTCTGACCGATCATAGGAAATATTAAGTGCTTTAACTGTAAATCTGGCTGCTGAAAGAGATATAAAATGCACACTAAGGGTTTGATTCTCTGCCTCACCTCCCCCAAATACAGGTATTGAAATAACAAATCATGCAACTGCAACATTAGAAGGCAATCAGATTTTCAACAACCGTTTTGGAGGCTTATTTCTAGCATCTGGTGTCAATGTAACAATGAAAGGTGTGTGGATTTTACATTGCATATTTGTTTACATATGGCATTTCTTAAAGATGAATGGCATACTGGAGACTTCAATATTGTAGAATTTGTCATATCCCAATGTCTCATTTTTGGCAGCATTACACTTTAAATTGCCCTGAACCTAAGAACTTCATCTAAAAGAAATAAGTTGAGCTTTGTTCAGAGTTAAGCCAATAGCTGGAACACCTTTAAAGCACTGCAGAGTCCAAGGGAATAAAATGAAAACTATTGTTTGTATCTAATTTTCCCTGGCAGAATGTAGCCTTTTCCACTGACCACTTCATCAGTTAATCCTTCTTTAGACTGTTTTGATATTGGTTAATTCTTTCTGGTTGGGAATTTGAAAGACCATACTGAATTCCTCTAATCAGAACTCCTTGCTATGTGAGTGAAAACAAGTATCCAGTATGGTTCAGAAACTTACTTTACAAGTCTGTTAAAGTAAGTAGCTATGAACCACACACTAGCGAGGCAGCATTTTGCAAGTGAATTATAAAGCTAGTTGTGAGACGCAGACTTGGGTACTAAGGTTCCTGGGGTCTGTGCTTGGTTCTAAGAGGAATGTATGGCTTACTGCTAAGAACAGTACGTATAGATAGACTGAGTGGATGAGACCGGTGTTCTATTCCCAGCTCTGCTGGAAGTAACCTTTTGCAACTTGTTACCTTATTTGAAAAATTAGGGGAAATAATACTGTCCTGCTTCCTAGAATATAGGTGTGAAACCTTGGTCAATAAAGGCTGTCTACTGAAAGAAGTAAGACCAGAGCTGCTTGGTTGTTTTTCTCTTTCAATAAGGAGTTCTGCTGTGCATTCTCTGAGGAATGCAGAAGCAGCCTTATCAGCTGGCCTACTAATCTGTCAGCAACCCTGACCTGGAATCTAGAAGGGATGGCTTAGTTGTTTACATATCAGGAATACCTAAACTCTGGAACTATAGCCTAAAATTCTGACATGGAGAACTCAACCTGTTACTGTAGTTCCATTACTCCCAGGGGAATTCTGCACCACTGCACATGCACATAATTAATGAGCTACACATACTTTTAATTTTTTGCGCAGTAAAAAGCTTCTGCCAGAAAATTACTGCAATTCCACCTTTTGCCCATCAGAGAGCGCTATGGTGCTAGACCAGAGCAGTAGCACCTGGCTAGCTAGGACAGAAAAAGAGCCTGCCTTCTTCACAGCGCCTGTCAGGCCAGGTCAGGAGATGGAGAGACAGACAGCATGGGGCTGCTTGGGGGTCAGACAGGGGCTCACAAGGGCTAGTGGGGGAGGATTGGGGTAGGGACTGAATGGGAGTGGAGGTGCAGGGCCACATGGGGACTGGGGGGTGACTGAGTTGGGGGCAGACACACATATAGGGATGGGGGTGGGACACATGTAGACAGGAGGGCCAGAAGAAAACATGGGGGTGCAGGGACACCTGGAGACAGGGGCAGATGTGCCTGTCTGAATTGGAGAGGCTAGGGGTCAGCCAGGGTCTGCATGGGGGAAGCTCCCTAACACTCCCTCCCTGCCCCCAAAAAACCCCAGGCTCCTTCCCAGCAATTACTTCCCTCTCCCTCATCTCCTCAGTTACCAGTGATTCCCCCAAACCTTTGCACTGCTTCTGAGGAGTGTGGGAAATACTGTTCTGTACTGTAGTTTAAATGAATTATTACTCAGAGTTCTGTATTAATATGCCTGGTAAGGAATCTATTTGTCAAAAAACATTTCTTGAATCTTTTGTCTGTACTGTTACAGACATACTTGCTGACAGTATTTTTAAAATAAACGTAATTGAATCTGTTGTGATTATATTGTGTTATTTTGACAAATAAAATATGCAGAATTTGAAAATACTGTATGCAGAATTTTAAACTTTTTGGCGCAGAATTCCCCTAGGAATATTCCATGCAGTTTACTGTGTGGGGGTTTTGGGATCAGACCTAAAAGGAATGTTCTAATTATCTGATAGTTTATCCTTTTATTACAGATAACAAAATAATGAACAATCAAGATGCCATAGAAAAGGCTGTCAGTAGAGGCCAGTGTCTATATAAAATATCAAGTTACACCAGCTACCCAATGCATGACTTCTACAGGTAACAAATTTATAAACAGTTATAGGTCATGAAAGGTAAGAAAAAATAGTAATCTCCCTCACCCAGCATCCCTCTAGCATATAAGTGATTAAATAGAAAGCTGTCTAGTGTAAATGATGAACCAGCTTAGATCTATTGTCTAGAGTCTGCAAGTTTGATTGGTTTTTGGTTAACATTACTTCTAGAAGGAAATTGGCATTTTTCTGTGCTTAACACATTGCCAATTACAGATGTGCCTGTAACCACCTGTCCATTTTCAAATCATGCCTAATGTGCTACATTTTACTTTAGATGTCACACTTGTAACACCACAGATCGTAATGCCATATGTGTGAACTGCATTAAGAAGTGCCATCAAGGACATGATGTAGAATTTATTAGACATGATAGGTATGTTAACAAGAATGAATACTTTGGCTGAGCAGCTTTACTATTCAAACTTAAAGCAAGTTTAATTCTCCTACTGAAGATAATTTTTTTCTTCTAGGTTTTTCTGTGACTGTGGTGCTGGAACACTCTCTAATCCCTGTACACTAGCTGGAGAGCCTACACATGATACAGATACACTATATGACTCTGCTCCACCTATAGAATCTAATACATTGCAGCACAACTGAATTCCTTTCAGAAAAGAAGTCCTGCCATTCTAATATCATAACTGTTAAACTTTTTTTTGGAGGAAATTATACTTGCCCATTTCTGCAGAAAGAGACTGTATTAAAAAATGGATGTGTAAGGTGTTGACACTATGGAGCTCAACCTACCAAAAAGAAAGTGGCAATATGTTGACTCAGGATAACAGAACTGGGCGTTTTAGCATTACTGTGTAAACAAAGACTCTTGAAGGGACAGAAGTGAAGAAAATAAGCTGCAATTTTGTACAGATACCAACTTCTGAAAAGCTGGTGTTTTTACAAGTAGCATTGAAACGCAGTCCAATTTGCAGTAGTACTATTCTGTAGACAAGCAGCATTCTTTGTTGCTGCTGTTATGGACATGGGTACCAATTGCTTTTGTAACATGGTAAAATGTGAGCTAGCACTTCTGCATTTCTTTTGATTTTTTTTAACATTTATTCAGATTGAAAAATATGATTTTAAATGCTTTACTCTCATGTAGTTTGTTTTTAATTTCAAGCAAAAAAAAAAATCTTATTGTACTTGAATGTGTCCTGTTTTGTTAGCACACCTAGACTTGCTGTAACTGTACTCATGTCCCAGTATGTACGTTCTTTCTATGAAAGAGAAAACACTAACCTTAAATTATATCCAGCAATTTTTCTGGTATCCTTTGAAAAAGTTAAAATAATCTCCTTCCCTGCCCCAGCAATAGTCTGTACTCAAATCACCCTAACAAAAAATGTGTTTTAATGAGACTTCCTAGCATATACAATGCACTATAAAACAAAGTACCCATGTAACTAAGTTTTGTGAATGAAAGTTTTACTATGTTTTAAAGTACACATTAGAAAGTCTCCTCAAAACAGTCTTGTATTTTACTCTGTTCATAGTTTTTTTTTGAACAGTCTGGACATTATCTGTATCAACAGCTGGAAATCACAGCAATTTCCTGCTATAATGAAGCTGAGACAAGTATATATACAGCTCTATACAGTTTCATAGCTTTTTTCCATTTATGTGTATTGGTGACAGTGGGTAATCAACAGCCTGAAAGTGTATGCATGTACCATAACATCTAGACTTAATATATTGTGGAGTATTCAATAACCATTATGTAGAGGGTAGATAAGAATTAAAAGGGTTTAATTTCCTAGGAAAGAAAATGGAAAAATGGTCATTTTTAAAAAATAAAGTTTATTAGATCATAATGTTGTCTGCATACCATCTTTGTGAGAAAACCACCAGTAACACTTGTTACTGTATCTTACAGATTATTGATCACAGTCATCAGTTTAGGAACAGCTTTATCTCCTGCTGCATTCTCTGCCACCAGGCAAAGGTGCCTAAAGGGGGTGGGAGGGGAGAGAGAGAAATTAGACCACATTGCTAAGTAACATTTATGTTTAGTAAAAGAGGTCTAGTAAGTTCTTCACTAAGTAATATGTTCTCTGGGTAAATCAGTCTCCACCTTTTGAAGGACTGATCATGAGTTTTTCTGGCAGGCAATTAATCAAAATAAGGGGCTAACCCTCCTTTGCCTTCAGTTTTACCACTTAACTTCATTAGTCTATTTTTGAAGGAGTGTTTTTTTAATGTCAAAGGAAATATGAAAAAACTCTAAAAATACTAATTTTTAAAGGATAGTCTTACGATTTTAAATGTATTATTGTTTCTCTGAAGTCATGTAGCACCTAACAATTGCCAAGGGTAACTTCTAAAAGTTACAACATAGGTGAACCCTTAGCACCACTGTACTGAGAAAATGTCTAGCTTCCCCTAGGAGCCAAGAGGAAACCTTCTCTTCTCCCCACCCCCATTCTGTTGTGCTCTAGCATAGCCACTTAGCCCCTCTTTATGTAGCACAGCACCTGAGTTTTTGTGTTTGTTTTTTTAAAATAAATTCAGGAAAGAACTTACTTAAACAGTCTCAGTGAAAGTGTAACTTTCTCAAAGTCTCGTGCTTTTCTGTGACCTTTCTGAATAACTTCCTCTGGAATATTAGCAAGCCTTGCTGCATTGAAGCCATAGCTTTTAGGACAAGCTCCTCTAATGAATTTATAGAGGAATGTAATAGTTTCCTGGCTTGGATCTTCACTCTCATTTTCAACCATACATGCCTAAAAAAAGTCACCATAAAAGCAGTTTATCCAGTACTTTTACATTAGTGTACATAGAACATTTCCTTCTTTCAGGACACCCCTTTTTGATTACAGGTAGAAAACTGAGGCTCTATGCACATTGTGGAACATGGCCTACCAATAAAAACCCCACTTCCCAAAGTGATGCAAATACCCTTCCTTGAAGTTCAACAGTTTGTACATACCATATGGCCCAGTTGCACAGCAGCACTGTGTGAATAGTCCTCTACTAATGAATAATAATGTGTAGAAAAAAGTGTGCGACACTTTATATTTTCTGCAAGTTCTTTAACAACTGCACTTGCTATAGCTGTGCCATCAAAAGTAGCTGTGCCTCTACCTGCAAGAGAAGAAGAAAAACCTTCACACATCCAATGTGGAACAAACTTGCATTTCTAGACACTAAGCAAAATATGACTTCAACCCAGTATTTAAAGAGAGAACTTAAGCCAGATTCAAGTTATTTTGTGTGTTATTGAAATAGAGCCCACTAAATTACTAACAGCTTGTCTACCCAGGGAAGTTAGTGCAAAACAACTATGGTGGAATTTATAGCACAATAGCTATTCCACATTAAGACACTGTGTATGGTACGAGTTACTTCAGTTTAATTTACATTGCTGAAGGGTGTGAATAATCTGCACCCCTGAGTGACATAAATCATACCAATCTAAGCATGTGCGTAAGCACCGCTATTTTGGCAGGAGAGCTTCTCCCACTGACATAGCTACTGCCTCTCAGAGAGGCAGGAGTTAAGCTTATGCGTGAGCGCTCTGCCATCAGCTTAGAGCATCGCCACCACATGGACTGCTGTAGCGTAGATGTAGCTTAACTCTCCCTGTGGATGTTTATTCTGCACTAAGAATTTACAAGGGCTGACAAGCCAATTCAAACTAAAGTAGGGTGTGAATTTAAAGCATAGTAGTTATTTGATTGGAGGGAAAGTGTCTGCAATTACGTTGATTACACAAGATGTCAAATGTTTGTTTGCATAGGTCTTTCACACAGCAATAGGGAAGAGATGCATCTAAAAAATAACAGGGATTATAAAATCACAAACTGGCATGGACAATCTAAGGTAGCAGCTGCTTTGGATATTCATTCCTCAGCAATCCCCTCTCCCACACCCTAGTTCCATGCCTGACAGCAGTCAAGTGTCAGCAGCAGTGGCAAACAGGGCAGGAAGTGGTTGATGGGGGGGAAAAAAACCAACATACAACAGGTTTCAGAGTAGCAGCCGTGTTAGTCTGTATTCGCAAAAAGAAAAGGAGTACTTGTGGCACCTTAGAGACTAACAAATTTATTTGAGCATAAGCTTTCGTGAGCTACAGCTCAATTCATCAGATGCAAATAAATTTGTTAGTCTCTAAGGTACAACATAAAACAGTTTAATAGGGGCTCCGAGGGTAAGATTATGACCTTTCCTGCAGTAATTCCCAATGGCCACTGGAAAGTAGTCTGTTTTCAGGGGACATCCATGGTTAATATGAAAAGGCTAACTGGAATGCTGCTAATGTTTAATACACTTTAAACATTCAAACTGCTACTGTCATGTGTACACTAAATAGCTTTATAGCCTAGCCTTTAATCTTAGGTTTGATTTCTTCACCTATAAGAGAGTCATAGAAATGTACAGTTGGAAAGGAGCTCGAGAGGTCATCTGAAGTTAGACCATTCCCGACAGGTGTTTGTTCTTAAAAACCTCCAAATGACAGGGGTTCTACAACCTCTCTTGGAAGCTTATTCTAGAATTTATCTATCCGTATACTTATGTTAGATACTCAGAAAAATCTTTCTAAATCTCTTTTGCTGCAGATTAAGCCCACAACTACTAGTCCTACCTTCAGTGGACATGTAGAACAATTGATCACTGTCCTCTTAACATAGCTGAAGACTTATCAGGTCCCTCAGTTGTCTTTTCTCAAGACTAAGCAAGCCAAGTTTTCTAAACTTTTCATCATTTTTGTTTCTCTCTTCTGGACTCCAGCTGAAGCCTCACCAGTATGGAGTACAGTGGGAGAATTACCCCACATGTCTTCGATATAAACAATCCTATTAATGAACTCCAGAATATTAGCCTTTTTTCCCCATTGTATCCCACTGTTGACTCATTCAGTTTGTGATCCACTATAACTCCCCAAATCCTTTTCAGCTGTACCACCACATAGCAAGTTATTTCCCATTTTGTAATTGGACATTTGAGTTTTCCTTCCTAAGTATAGTGCTTTGCATGTGTCCTTAATGAATTTTACCTTGTTGATTTCATACCAATTCTCTAAATTGTCAAGGTCAATTAACTATCATCCAAAGTGTTAGCAACCCCTCCCAACTTGGTGTCATTTGCAAATTTCATAAGCATACTCTTCTCTCAAAAGTCATTAATGAAAATACTGAATTAATACTCAACCCAGGACTGACCCCCGTGGGTCTTCACTAAACACATCCTCCCAACCAAAAGTGTAACCTCTATAATAATTCTTCAATCTAGTCACATTTCCCTAGTGTTCTTACTATAATCAGTCAAGATATATCATGTCTACAGCTTCCCCACCTGGTAATGCTGTCAAAGGAAATTAGATTGGTTTGGCATACTTTGTTCTTGACAAATCAATGCTGGCTATTCCTTAACCTATTCTCTAGGTGCTTACAAAATTATTTTATACTTAGTTCCAGTAGCTTTCCAGGTATCAAAAGTTAGTCTGACTGGTCTGTAATTTCCCAGGTCCTCTGTTCCCTTTTTTAAAGATAAAGATTTTTGCTCTTTTCCAGTCTCTGGGACTTCACTTGTCTTCCATGAGTTCTTAAAGAAAAGCGCTAATGGTTCCAAGATTACTTCAGCTAGTTCCTCAAAGTACCACCTACGATGAATTTCACCGGGCTCTCCTGACTTGAATACATCTAATTTATCTAAATTCTCTTTTTATATTTTGGCTTGTGTTTCTTCCCCACTGTTAATACTAATTGTGTTGAGTATGTGGTCACCATTAACCATTTTAGTGAAGACAAAATAGACTTATTAAACACCTCAGTCTTTTTTATGTCAACAATTATTAGCTCTTCCCCTCTAAGGAGAGGACCTAAGTTTTCCTTCATCTTTCTCTTACTCCTGATGTATTTATTACCATCTTTTATGGTTACAGATACATATGCATTTTCTGCCATAGCTTTTCTGATTTTGTTACTACATACTTATTCTATATTTTCTTCCTTAGCAATTTATTCATGTTTCCATTTTTTGTAGGATTCCCTCTTTGATTTTCAGATCACTGATAGTTATACTGACTTCTTACTATTCTTCCTCTTTTTCCTTCACATCAGGATAGTTAGCAGTTGTGCATTTAATATTGTCTCCTTGAGGTGCTACCAGCTCTCCTGAACTCTTTCATCTCTTAGATTTTCTTTCCCAGCGCCTGAAGTTCTCTGAATTTGTTAGTCTGCTATTTTGAAGTCCTTAGTCTGCTGCTCACTCCTTTCTTTCCTTAGAATCATAAACTCTTATTTCATGATCACTTTCATCAAAATTGCCTTCCATACTCAGATTTGCAACCAATTCTTCCCTTGTTGGTCTGAATCAAGTCTAAAATGGCTATCCCCCCAGTTATTTCCTCCACTTTCTGGAACAAAATGTCCCCAATACATTCCAAGAACTTTTTGGAAATTGTGTGCTGCTGTATTAATTTTGCAACCGATGTCTGTGTAGATAAAGTCCCCCATTAATACCAAGTCTTGTGTTTTGGATATTTTTTCTAGAAATGCCTCTTCCTCCTAGTCTTGATTTGATTGTCTACAGTAGACCGCTACCATGATATCATTCATATTTTTTTAACCCCTAGTCAGACTTTCAACTGGTCTGCTGTCACCTCCTTCTGGACCTCAAAAAAAGTGATATGTATTCTTGATAAATAATGCACCACCACCTCTCTTTTTTCCCCCATCTGGAACAAGCTATACCCCTCTATACCAATATTCCAGTCATGAGATTTATCCACAAAGTCTGATGTCAACTAAGTCATAATTTAGCTTATGTACTAATACTTCCCGTTTTTCCTGTTTATTCCCCGTACTTATTAAAAGAGCCTGAATACCTAGTTCATCCACAAGCACAAGGGAATGCTCTGTTGCATGCCGGAGTATGCTGGAAGTCTCACTCAGCTCAACAAAAAAGGTACTCTCTCCTAAAAAGGACAAAAACAAAACTTCATTCAAAGTGTATAAAAGTTTTGCAAAGGCAGGCATGTACAGCATACAGTTCAACAATACAACATTTATTAGACTAAACAAACTTCCAGCCAGCTGTGACCAGAGCTAGGAAAAAGCTGAGCTTTAAAAAAAAAAAGACATTCAGACTATCAGGTAGGAGAACAAGTATAACTGAGTGAAAACTGGTAATACTAAAAAACAACCCTGTTTGTACACTAGTCCTAATGTAAAAAAGCAAGCAAGAAAAAACATGAAGTCCTTTCTCTGGTAGAAGAATAACTGGTGAACTAGTGAAATGGTGACAAGAACCAATGAAAGCAGAGCAACTGATGGGGAAGGGAATATTAGACTGTTGAATGTTGTTACAAACACCCATTTAACTCCATTTACTAACATTTTGGGAAAAGAAAGCCTTTGTTACAGATTTCAATTTAAGATAAAATTCAAACATCCCAGAGATTCTCCAACAAAGTAAGAGAAAACTAGGCTTGACATTTCTGCTATTTCTACAAACACAATACAAGCAGAAGTAACATATTTCAGATCTTTACATATCACAAAATGCAAGACCCTTTACTCAATGGGACTCACCTGAGGAGAATTCTGAAATGACAAAACACAAAGTTCCATACATGCAAGACAGCAGACTATGCAGCAGTTATTTTTAAATGGTCAAATTAAACCAGATATGAACTTAACTTTCCCCAGCTGGGGGAAAATCCCATAGATGTATTTAATTTAACCAGTAACTCTTCAACAAGGAGGAAGTTTTTTTTGGAGACAGAGCAGAATTATACTGAGGAATATTGAACACCTGCTGCTTATTTCAAGTAACTCTTCAGGCTTGCTATCAATTCTCCTTTCACTGACTGCCATGAAGCGGTTCTCTCTCTCCCACTGAAATGTTTAAATGATGCTGATGTTGACAGTCACATTTCCAAAACCAGCTCTCATGCAGTATTCAGTATTGCTTCTCAGATGACTACTGTATGCATTAATTCCATGTATGTGGCTGATTAAGGAGGGACCAGTGTTAAATGCCATGGATTTCCCTAGACCACATCTTTATATAGATGAAAGGACATTTTTGCAAGAACTTTTCATTAACAAAAATAAAAATGGAACACTGAGCTAAAAATGCAGCCCAAGATATTTGTGTGCGCGTGCACACACACACAATATAGCAAGCCCCTGACCCCCAGCAGGATGGAGCAGAGCCCCCTGCCTCAACCAAGTTTCACGATCATCATTGGTGAGTCTAGTATTAAATTTTTTTAAATTATTTAAAACTTATACTGTATATGTATATAATGTCGTCTGGTGAAAAAAAATTCCTCTGCGCCCTAAGCCCCCCTATTTACATTAATTCTTATGGGGAAACTGAATTTACTTAACATACGTTCTTGAAAAATGCAACTTTAAGTGAAACTAACTAGGTCATTAAGCATACTGTATATGCTTATGAATCCGTAAGTCCTCATGTCTCCACCTCACTGACACTTACACCTCTGCCCTACAGTCAGCTACCATGCCACCTCTTAAATTGCTGCTGGGCAATCAATCTCTGCCACGCTGGCTTCCTTCTCTTTCCCTAAATAGATGGCCAAGATAAAATATTCCAAGAAATCTAGGAGCTCAACTTTTCTCCATTCTCTGAGTGAGCTGGACTCAGGGTTCTTGATGTATTTTGACATCAAGAACCTGGACAGCAGCCTTGACACAAGCCACACTGTTTTGGATATTTGTGAGGCAGATGATGTTCCTATAACAGAGCCTTACACCACAAAAGTCTAAGTAGTAGCTGACTTTCTCTTTTCCAAAGTACTTGGAAAAGGGTATTCTAAGGAGACCTGCCATCAGCTGTTTAACTTCCTGAGAGCTACCTCAAAATTTGTCTCCCAATGTGGACTCCAATTTCAAGGGTAATCGGGAGTTAGCTTGATCTCCCATCAGACATAATGGACAAGCATGTGGAATACCCAGACACAACTAAGGTCCTGTTTCTGCCCTGAAAGTCGCACCTCAGGGTTTACTCTCCACCAGAAGACAGGTAAGTGAAAAACTGCAACTGGCTAGCCCCTTTAATACAGGATGGCATACACAGCTTCACGCCTCAGACTTGATCCACTAGCAAAGGATTAGAATTGTACCCAAATGTCTAAAGAACCACCAAGTGAATGATTTGAATCTACTCAAGTACTTTTACCACCTACTCAGTTCTATATTTGTACAATTTTAGGAACTCACCTGACATAATTCTGTCCGAGGCACCTAGTCTTGTAAATACTCTGTCAATAGGAGTAAGCCTGCAAGCTTCAGCAGGTACATAGCATCCCAACTGAGCCATTATTGCCAAAAGGCCAGCCTGCAAAACAAAAGAAAAAACTGTCCAACTTTTCTCCTCCCAAGTGTCAGACCTCAAGCTAAGTAGGACTGAACCTAGCTAATAATTAGACAGGTATCTTTGAAGAAACAAGAGACTGCAGGAATTGGTGTTGGCAATTCAGTACTCTCTCCCCACATAACTTCAAAGTTAGTATTGAATCAATATCCCATTATGCCAACAGAGGTAGTGTGTTATGAGAAGCACCCTCTATCCAATGAAATGAAGTCCTGAGCCCACCTGCATTTATTAAAGAACCTCTGCCACTTTTCCTGAGAACAAGAGTATTAGTCTTGTTTCTTTGGCTAAATTCTTATGGTAGGTTACATCCTTCTTAGGTAAATAAATACTTGCTGCATTTTCAACCAGAGTATTTTTCACTTTACAGCCCAAACTGCGGACGTGTTGCTGGGTGCTGTCAAGCTGTGACTACATTCCAACCTTGAGATTTCAATAGTGCATTTAATAATTCTTTGATGTTCTTTAGTGCCCTGGAACAAAAGATGTTTTAAGTAACCATATTTCATAGTCACCTGTCTCATTAGTGTAGATTTGCCACCCATGTTTGGGCCAGTTACTAAAACACAGTAGGCTTCACTATTGCTGTCTTCATCTTCATTCTTGGAACCTATCACAATATCATTAGGAATAAAATCATCCCCAAAAAACGTTTTTGTAATGCATGGATGGCGTGAACCTTTAAGCTCCAAGAAGGGTGGAGTATTCTGTTCTGGCAGTAGAATTACAGGTCGGCAGAATGGTCCATCACCCTCTTGACTATAGTTAGCGAGGCACATCAAGACATCTACAAAAGTTAGAAAAATTCCAATTAATTGTAATTATCCCTCATTTCCTGTATTTCTCATTGTACACATACCAGTTGGGTGGAGTTTCTTTCAAAAAAACAAAAACAGTTTCTTGTAACTGTTGTTCTTTGAGATGTGTTGCTCAGATCAATTCCAATTAGGTGTGTGTGTGTGTGTGTGTGTGCACAGTCATCGGAAAGTTTTTCCCCTATTAGCGCCCGTCGGGTTGGCTGTAGAGCCCCCTGGCGTGGCGCCTCCACGGCGGTGAATATATGACCCTGCCGACCTGGCACCTCCTCAGTTCCTTCTTGCTGGCTATTCTGACAGAGGGGAAGGTGGGTGGGTTTGGAATGGATATGAGCAACACAACTCGAAGAACAACAATTACAAGAAGGTAACTTTTTTCTTTGACTGCTTGCTCATATTGATTCCAATTAGGTGACTCCCAAGCCTTACTGAGGCGGTGGAATCACTGACTGGAGCACCACTCTGCCAAATGCTGCATCGTCTCTGGCGTGCCAGGTAATGGCATAATGATAGGCAAAACTGTGAACCGAGGACCACGTCACCACCCTGCAGATTTCTTGTATTGAGACCTGGGCCAGGAGTGCCGCCGAGGAGGCCTGTGCCCTTGTGCAATGACCGATTAGTGCCTGAGCTGGAACTTTGGCTAGCTCGTAACACATCCAGATGCAGGATGTGATCCACGAGACCAGGAGTCCTTTTATCTGGTCTGCTACTGCCACAAACAGCTGGTTTGACTTACAAAACAGCTTAGTGCATTCAATGTAAAAGGACAGCGCTCAGCGAACGTCCAGTGAGTGAACCCTCCGTTCTCGGCTACTCACTTGAGGTTTAGGATAAAAAGACAGGTAGAAAGATGTCCTGGTTAGAGTGGAATTGGGATACAATCTTTGGAAGGAAGGCTGGATGAGGCCTAAGTTGCACCTTGTCCCTAAAGAAAACCATGTAGGGAGGGTCAGAGGTGAGGGCTTTTAGCACCAATACCCTCCTCACTGAGGTAATGGCAATGAGGAAGGCCACCTTCCATGTCAAGTAGAGGAGCGAGCAAGTTGCCAGCAGTTCAAACGGGGGCCCTGTTAGTCTGAAAAGGACCAGGTTAAGGGCTCACGCCAGGATCGGTTGTCTAACCTGTGGGTACAGCCTTTCCAGACCCTTAAGGGAATGGCCAACCATGAGGGTGGCAAAGACGGAATGCACAGCTGCTCAGGGGTGAAAGGCCAAGATAGCTGCGAAGTGCACCTTGATGGATGATGCCGCCAGACCCTGCTGTAGGTATTCCAGGATAAGCAATAAGGGCGCCTGCATCAGGGGTGTGCGGATCTGAGTGCACCAGATTGTGAACCGTTTCCACTTGGCCACATAGGCAGCCCTGGTGTAGGGTTTCCTGCCACCGAACAGGACCTTCCTAACCTGCTTGGAGCACTTGAGTTCCAGGGGGTTTAGCCATGAAGCTTCTAAGCCATGGAAATCGGGGTAATGAAGGCAACCGTGGTCCTGGGTAATCAGGTCCAGGACCAGAGGCAATGTGATCAGGGTCTCCACCAACAGCTCCAGTAGCATGGTACCAGTGTTGGCAAGGCCACACCAGCGCCACCAGTGTGACTGCCACCTTGTCTCTGCAGCTCTTGAGCAGGACCTTGTGGACAAGTGGGAACACATACAGCAGATGTTCCATCCAGGGGAGGAAAAATGCGTCTGCAAGAGAGCCTGGACTGTGATTCCAGAAGGAGCAGAATCGCGGGCATTTCCTCTTGCCTCGTGTGGCAAAGTCGTTGATGTGGGAAACTCCCCAACTCTGGAAAACACTGCATCACGTCCGGACGGTTGGACCGCTCGTGGTTGTGGAAGGATCCGCCAGCTCATTCTGGGAAGCTGGGAGGCAGGACATTTCTAGGTGCATGGAGTAGGCTATGCAGACCTCCCATAGCTTGAGGGCTTCCCAGCACAGAGAGGAATGGGCTCCACCCTGCTTATTTATGTAAAACATTGCAGTTGTGTTGTCAGTCATGACTCTGACGCACTTCCCTTGCAGATGAGCTTGGAAGGTTTGGCATGTTCGTCACACCACCCTCAACTCTTTGATGTTGATATGGAGTGAGAGCTAGTCTTGAGACCAGAGTCTGAAGGCCCCCAAGTGTGCTCCCCACCCCAGCGCCAACACATCCATTACCGAGACAAAGAGGGCTGAGATCTGTGGAAGGGAATTCCCTCCTGTGGTTTCAGCCATCAGGGACTTGAGGACCTGCACCGGAAGGGTGACCACTGAGTCCAGGCTGTCACACCCCGGACAGTAGGTAGATGCTAGCCAAGCTTGGAGAGGTCTGAGCCACAGCCTGGCCTGGTCTAACCATTTGAAGTCCTTGGACTTGGGGGTAGGGCCCTGCCGCCTTGTCCAGGTAGGAGGATGACTATGCAATTGGAGGTATGGGGTCCTCTTGGCCCTCCAGGTTCCTGGGAACATCCTGTGTTGCCTCATGTTCCACAGTGACCGCCCCAGGGTCAGCGTCAGTGGTGGGAGCAGGATTCGGGGGTGGTTTTGAGGTCTGTACCACCCTCACCTCAGAACCCCTATGGGTGGGATGACTTGCTGATGCTTCGGGTACCCGTGGCTCTGACACCACCAAGTGGGAGCCCTTGGAATGCGTGTCCTGGGCCTAGTGATAGGCCCAGGGTGTCCATAATGGCCCTTGCACAGGTCTTTGCCATGGCCCCACACCCACATGCTGCTGTCAATGGTCCAATCTATGTTGGCTGTGCCTAGAGTAGTGGGACTCCACCTCCAAGTCAGATGACGAGGACCTGGAATGCAAAGACCAGGGCGTTGCCAATTAGAGCAGCTCTGGGGAGTGGTGCCACGATGTCAAATGGTGCCATGATGGGGTGTGGTGCCGTCTGGTTGGTGCTGGGGAGCGGTGCCACAGACATGTAGTCAGAGACCGTCGAGGCAATCTCCATATCAGCATCGTGGGCTTGCCTCTAAACAGTGCCGTGCACTGCAGAACCGGAGGCTTATCCGGACCAGCCGGGGACCATGGTGATTAAGTCCCTCGCAGCCTCAAAGGTGGTGGATGGCAACTCTATGTCCTCCACCTGAAACTCCTGGCCAGTGCTTGTGGACTCTCCTGGACTCAGTGGCCCCCCTTGTGGGGCCAAAGTCGACGGTGCCGTCTCCTGGGTCACCAGCACTGGGTGCTCCTCTCCAGGACGCACACCAGTGGCGCTTTCCAAGGTTGCCATCCTCAGCATAGGTGAATGCCCCCGCCTGACTTTCGGTGCCATTTCTGTGGCACCAGGGAGTGGGAGCAGTGCTGCATCACCTCTGCCGGCTGCATTGTTGGGGAGCGCCAGTGCTGAGGGTCTCTATGCCTAGAGTCCTTCCTTGGCACCACTTCACGTACGGAGGCCAGAGAAGCTCAGCACCAGATCCTGCCCACCCGAGACTGGCTGGGGACAAAGAGCCACCTCCATCAGGAGCTGTTTTAGGCGAAAGTTCCACACCTTTTTCGTCCTGGGATAAAACCCCTTGCAGATATTGCAGCAGTCCATTTGGTGCACCTCCCCTAGACACTTGAGACAAGAGTCGTGGGGGTTGCCCATTGGCCTGGGTTTATGGCAGGATCTGCAGGGTTTGAATCCTTGGGACTGAGGCATGCCCCAAACCCCCAAGGGAAACAGGAAAGGAGCACCCCCATTCCTACCCTACTAACAAACTATAAACTATTACAACTCTGAAACTATGCTAGAACTGCAAGAGCAAGCCCCCACAGTTCCAATGACTGTCACTGGCGGTAATAAGGAACTGAGGAAGTGCCAGGTCAGCAAGGTCATATATTCACCGCTATGGTGGCAACACTGCTGGGGGCACTACAGCTGACCCGATGGGTGCTGCTAGGGGAAAAACTTTCAAACGACTGGGCACGTGGCGCGCGCACATACACCTAATTGGAATGGATATAAGCAATCACTCGAAGAAGAACAGATGATCCTTCCTTCTCCTGAGGAGATTACCATTGCAACCCTTTAATACATTAGTAGCACTCACACTTGCTGAAGTGGAGACTATATGTAAAAATTTTATATTTCCCACTCTGATTTTATTGGTGTTTGGTCAGAAGTAATTTCCTCTCCTGGACATAACTTTAAATATAAGCCTTCAACATCTGCCTTGTGCTTTGGTTATAAGACAAAAACTCAAGTATACAGCCAATATATATTTGTATTTAGTGCATCCTGCACTAGCTTTCCCCTGGATTCCGAAAGAAAACTAGGAAGAAAAATGGCTTCCACAACAATGAATTACTTCATGGCCAAAAGGGACTCACCACAAGATTCAGTTATATTGCTTGAAATGTATTAGAATAGAGTTTTAAAATATTAAAAGTCTGTGTCCATCTCTGATAGAACAATCAAATCAATGTTATTTCAGTCTAATGCATCTCACAGCTGGAGTTGACATGGCTCTAACTTCAATGCATGGTCACAACAACTGTGTACTTCTTAAACGTAAACCTGTCCTAAGCTTTCCATTGCCCCACATGAGAGAATCCTACTTTTTAGCAAGGGCCAGCTGTGCAGGTCCAAATCCCAAAAAGAATTATTGGTCCCCAGTATCTGTATGCATCAAGCCACCTATTTTAGGTGTCCTAAAAATGGATTTTGGTGACTAAGCACCCACATTTTAAACATTTAGACCCAACTGCCTTGCAGCTTTATCTGCCTCAGCATCTTCTGGGAAGAGACTAACTGTTTCATGTTCAGGGTGTGGCTGGCTGGACGCTTCTTCCAAACCACCCAGTCCCAGAAGATATTACAGGCCTGCCTGCCCTCCCATTCCCACAGCAATGGGACCAGAAACACTATGCTTTATTTCTCTCCAGAGCAGAGATATCCCAGAGTGCTCCATGCTAACAGAGCACTCTCAACATGCATAGTAGTACTTCTAGTTCTGCAGATGTGGCAGGTGAACACAGAAGATAATTTCTGGGAGAAGAGTTAACAGCAGATTTGAGGAAGCTATCTTACTGGCCTATCTTCCAACCCCCAACACTCCTCTTCAAGAGAGAAGGTAGGTGGTTGTTTAAGTGATTCAGGAGTAAAAGGTAGTTGGCTTCCTACTATAAAACAGCTAAGGGGGAAGGAAAAGGATTGTTCGGCCTTTCCTGGCTCGAGCTTTACTTCCACAATAAAATCTGAAGCCATTAAAAGGTCTATGTACTTTCATTAGGACTTTTTTGCACAGTAGTGTTTGTATGTTTTATCACTCCTTGAGAACAAGCAGCTGATCTGCACTTAAGATTCCTAAATGTGCTAACTGACCATTTATACTGAACTTGTGGGAGGACATAACAGGCAATGCAAACCTCCAAGTGCAATATGCAAAGAAGGAACTTGTAAAACAGCAGGGCCCGGTGATTCATTGCTGCTGCTGTTTAATTGAATTTAGAAAAATTCAGGTGGCTACTTCTCATTTTCATGCCAAGGTCAAATGCACTGGTCTAACACTGCACTCAGGATTTTAAGAGCAGGTTAGTAGCTGCCTCTCAGCAGTGTTTTAGCTTGTCCACACCAGATTTCTGGGTTTTCAGTACTATCAGATAATAGGATATTTTTATTAGCTTGATAAGCAATTTAAAAAAATCTTACCTAATACAGCAAAGCATTCCACTGCTGTTTGCCAGTCTTTGCTATTTTTATCAAAATTGTGGAACAGTCTCCTCATACAGTCTTTCAGCGCTGCATCTCTCCGTTCTTCAGCATTGACCATCTCCGCCAGCATCTTCTCTATCTCCTTGGTCCAGTAACGTTTATAACCCTTTCTGGTGGACTTCAATTCATATTCCTCAGGCAAATTGTGAGATATTGCATTTTCTGGAATTTCCATTTGGTAGCGGTTTTTGCCTGCTCCCCAATAAAGCATGGCTTTGAATCCAAGCCGTTTGCGTTGTTTATCCAAATACTCCCGAAGATTCTCTTCAATGTCTGTAATATCCTTTAGTGCTTTATCATAATCAGGGTCAAACCCAGCCTTCGGAGTAATCACTCCAGTCTTTCGAGCCTCATTGTGGTCAAAAGCAGTATCCCATCTTTTAAGTTCTGTACTCAGGTCTGGAAAACAGCCCTCTGGATTTTTCGACTTCAGAGTGACTAACTGCTTAAGTATTTTAGATTTGAAATCAGCAGCAATTTCTTCCATGATCCCTATGGTCTCAAGCATTACTTTAAATCCTTCCAATGTAGACAAGAAGTCAGTGATTTTTTTTTTACTGTATCTGGTTTCTTCATAAAAGATAGCCCTGTTGTCTGGATGAGTCTCACTTTTAAGTGGTGATCCAATACTGTGAATTTTGCTTAGGAGCCTTTCAAGATCTGGAAGTTTCTTCAGAAGTTCACTAACTTCAAACATTTTATCAGGAACTGCCAGAAGATCTTCAACTGCATCCAAACGATCATTGATGGAGTGGGGATTACAGAGGGGTGCACATATCCACTGTTTCAGGAGTCGCTTTCCAAAAGGGGTACAACAAATGTCAATCCTTTCCAGTAATGTGCCTTCTGTGGTGCCAGTAGTTCCATTCTGCAGGATTTCCAAGTTTGTTAGTGTCACCCCATCCAGCACCATCCGCTGATTGGTTTTAGCAAAGAAACTGCTTGATCCTTTAGCTTTTACAACATCAATGTCCACAGGAACATACTCCTCAAAGTTTGCCAGAGATAAGAGCTCCTGGTCAATAAGGCATTTCTTGAGGTAGAAGACACATCCACCGAGAGCTGACAAAGCTAACTCAGAGTTTTCACCAGGAGTAAGACCCAGAGAGTCAATTTCTGATGTCATGGATTTGATCACAGGAGGCAGAATAAACCTATCATCAACATTTTGCTTATCCTCAAAGTAGCTTTCTTCAATTAGAGTTTTCAGTGTTTTAGATGCATTCCAGAACTGGGAGCCAGAGATCAAGCCTTCTTGCATGGAAGAAGAGAGTGAGCCTTTTAATATCTTGTGTGTGTCTGCAGACAGATTTCCCTTCTCAAACAGGATCTGCACCGGAGTGTAGTGTGCCACCAAAGTTCTAAACCTGGAGCAGTGGCGGTCATCTGGAAACTGGCCCACATAAAATTTTCCCACCGATGTGTCAACAAAACAGACACCATATGCACGGTGGTGGCCAGAAGTGTCTTCAACTTTTTCTTTTACACTGAGAAGGTATTTATTAAGTTTTTCAGAAGGGTCTCCATCCAGAACACTGTAGGTCTGTGTCCCTTTGGTAATTATCCTGCATATTTCTCTGCGTACAACCCTATCAAACTTTGTTGGGTGGGCCAGGGATCTGCAGCGTGCTTCCATCATCTCAGGAGTCTCTGTCTGCTCAACCCGGACTACTTTGTACCCCTTCTGTACTAGAACATCAGAGAATCTGCCAAATGCAATTTCTGGAAAACCTGAATGGGCCCAAATACCTTTCATAAATATCAGTCCCAGCTCATTTACACCAGTGACTGCATCCATATGATACAACTCATAGAACTTCCCAACTTTGTAGAAGATTACAGCATCAAAGTTCTGAGACTTTAGCTGCCACCACTTCCGCATTCCTGGGGTACACTTGTTAAGGTAGTCCTCTGGCACATGAAGGGTACATGGGTCGTAATGAGGATCACTTTGTCGTCTTCTACATCCATCTCTCTTTTTCCCTTCCTGAAGCCATTCAAGTTTATCATGTTCCCATATAGTAGAACTGCTAACATTTGGCTGAGACTCAAAGTTTTCAGGCGCTGCAAAAGAGGTCAGCCTTGACTTGGTTTCTAATAAAACAGTTATTGCTCTTTTGGGTGTTTCAGGATGGTCATTTTCCAACCTATTCCTTTTAGCAGGTTTGCGGTCAGTTTCTCTCTTTCGTTTAGAAGGGACTTTCACAGGACTATCTGCATCCATCTTCGTGTCTGTCTCAGAGCTGGCAGATTCACCTTCGCCCATTCCGCTGCTTGCTTCATCACTGCTTGCTTCATCTTTAGCATCTGGTTTAAACTCTTCATCTGAACCTTCATTGTTACTGTCAGAGTCCACCACTCTTCGTTTTTTGGCTTTCCCACCACTTCTCCACCTGCTTGCCGGCAGCTTTTTTTTTTTCTCCTCCTCCTCACTATCATAATCTTCACTGTTGCCCGAAGCACTTTCACTAACCTGTTGAAAAGCAAAAGGCAAATTGCTTAATCACCTACAAAGATAAAACAGAAGAGGGCAATTATCAAGTGATCCATTCTGTCATCCAGTCCCAGCATTTGGCTTAGGGACACCCACTGCATAGGGCTGCATCCCTGACCATCTTGGCTAATAGCCATTGATGGACCTACCCACCATGAATTTGCTTATGCTTTTGACCTTCACAACATCCCCTGGCAAGGAGTTCAACAGATCGATCATGCGTTGTATGAAGTACTTCCTTTTGTTTTACACTTGCTGCCTGTTAATTTCATTAGGTGACTCTTGTTTCTTGTGTTATGTGAAAGGGTAAACAACACCTCTAGTCCCTTTCTTCATCCACACCATTCATGATTTTATAAACCTATCTCATTTCCATGCTGAACAGTCCCAGTCTTTTTAATTTTTCCTCATATGGAAGCTGTACCATACCATATCATTTTTGTTGCCCTTCTCTATTTTTTCCAATTCTAATATATCTTTTTGAGATGGGGCAACCAGCAACACACGCACTACTCAAGGTGTGGGTGTATCATGGATTTATATAGCGGCATTATATTTACTGTCTGTTTTATTATCTAGCCTTTTCCTAATGGTTCTGTTAGTCAAAAAAGACTGCTACTGCACACTGAGTAGATGTTTTCAGAGAACTATCCATGATGACGCCAAGATCTTTATTGAGTGGTAACAGCTAATTTAGACCCCCAGCATTTTGTTTGTATAGTTGGGATTATGTTTTCCAATGGGCATTGCTTTGCATTTATCAACACTGAATTTCGTCTGCCATTTTGTTCACTCCGTTTTATGGGAGCCCTTTGTAACTCTGAGCAGTCAGCTTTGGACTTAACTACCTTAAGTAATTTTGTATAGTATGCAAATTTTGCCACCTCCCTGTTTACTCCCTTTTCCAGATCATTTATGAATATGGTGAACAGCACTGGTCCCAGTACAGATCTTTGGGGGACCTCCGCTATTTACCTCTCTCCATTCTGAAAACTGACCATTTATTCCTACCTTTGTTTCTGGTCTTCTAACCAGTTACTGAACCACAAGAGGACCTTCCCTCATATCCCATGCTGCTTACTTTGCTTAAGAGCCTTTGGTATGGGACCTTCTCAAAGGCTTTCTGAAAATCCAAACATCCTATATCAACTGGATCACGTTTGTCCATATGCTTGCTGACACCCTCAAAGAATACTAATAGACAGGTGAGGCATGATTTCCCTTTACAATAGCAGTGTTGACTCTTCCCCCACATATCAGGTTTATCTGTATCTCTGATAATTCTGTTCTTTACTATACTTCCAACCAATTTGCTTAGTACTGAACTTAGGCTTATCGGCTTGTAATTGCCAGAATCACCTCTGGAGCCATTTTTTAAAATGGGTGTTATACTAGCTATCATCCAGTCACGTGGTACAGAGAGTCTGATTTAAGTGCTAGGTTACATACCACAGTTAGTAGTTCTGCGATTTCATATCCGAGTTCCTTCAGAACTCTTGGGTGAATACCGTCTGATCCTGGTAACTTATTACTGTTTACTTTATCAGACATGTTCCAAACCACCTCTAGTGACAATCTGGGACAGTTCCTCAGATTTGTCACCTAAAAGAAGCCTTGGGTGTGGGGGATCTCCCCTTCATCTTCTGTAGTGAACACCGATGCAAAGAATTAATTTAACTTCTCTGCAACGACCCTTGTCTTCTGTGAGTGCTCCTTTCATACCTTGATCATCCAGTGGCTGCACTGACTGTTTGGCAAGCTCCCTGCTTCTGATGTACTTGAAAACTAACACCAAATTTTTTTTCAAGTCTTTTGCTAGTTGCTCTTCAAATTCTTTTTGGCCTGCCTAATTAAACTTTTACACTTGATTTGCCAGAGTTTGTGTATCTTTCTATTCTCCTCAGTAGAAGCTGATGTCCAGTTTTTAAAGGATGCCTTTTAGCCTCTAACCCCTTTTTCACTCTGTCTTTTAGCCATGGCGGCATTTTTTGGTCCTCATTTGACAAACTAATTTTCCATTTTGACCATCTTTTTGGTATTATTAGGAGAAGATAGAATTCAATAATTTCTTTAAATGAACCTTTTTATAGTGTTAAGAGATGCCAAACTAAACTGATGCAATCTGATTTTCTATGGAGTGTACTGGACTCTTGCACTTTTGCATCAGCAACAAATTAATGAAGTTCCATGCTTCAATCCCAGATTATATAACCAAAATTATACAATGATCTCTGAAGGGCCTTAGGCAAAGCCCTGCATAAATCCAGGCAGAACTAACAAACACTGATGAATTTGATCTCTCCAAGACCTTGCCTTCCTCCTGTTTATATATTTAAGGATCAAACACAATTAGAAATCTAGTTCTTGTTTATCCCATTTTTCAAAATCAACTATGCAGAAAGAAGAAAAATGATCCAGTTCAGTGGTTAGGGTGCCAGCCCAGGCCTCTGGTTCGATTCCCTGCTCCGCTACAGACTTGTGATTTTGGGCAAGTCAATATCTCTCAGTGCCTCTGTTTTCCCATCTGTAAATTGGGGTTACAGCACTTCCCTACCTCACAGAGGTGTTGTAAAGATAAATACATAAAGGACTGTGAGACAATCAGATCCTATGATGGGGGCTATACAAATACATAAGATACACAGAACTGGTAGACTTATGACACTGAAAAGACAGAGGGAAAGGGCATAGCTGAGTCATCAGACTGGACCTACTTTCAATGGCTACAATTACATTATTTGGTCTGAAGCCATTCAGCTGTACCTGACTCACTGTAACTGGGCTAAGCAGGAAAAGAAACATAACCCTGCTTAGCACATTCAGCTACTGCTTAACAGTTACACAGAAATAGTGCTGGAGGAGTAAAGATCTGAACCAGTTCCCTTCCCCCACAGCCCCAACTGGCCAGGGGGCTGAGCAGGGACAAAACTGAGACCCCCTTCTTGGCTTTCATTTTAGCAGTCCAGCTGCAAGGTGGGATCTTCCCACACATGGAGGCTGCTTGAAGCTGTGCAATCCAACTGAAGTTTAAGACTATGAAACTCACCAGTCAGCAAACCAAATAGCACTCTGGAGCTTAGTTAATCAGCAAATTTAGACAAGGTCACACATCAATTAATGATAGCTATGACAAGTTTAAGATGGTAAATCCCATTTCCTAGAAGCCTGGGCAAAAACAACATTAAGTGTTAAAAATCTCTTAAAAACCTAGTCAATTTCAAAACATTGAAATAGAAGTAGTTTCAGGAACATCACCTGCTCAGTAGTTCCCTTGCCAATTTTGATTTACACTACAAGTTCCACCTTCTCTGTATGTATATGTATCTTCTTACCATATGTTCCATTCAGTGCATCCGATGAAGTTGGCTGTAGCCCACGAAAGCTTATGCTCTAATGAATTTGTTAGTCTCTAAGGTGCCACAAGTACTCCTGTTTTTGTTTTTTGGTTTTTTACTACATTTTAAGACTTTCTTCCTTGTTGCTGTCTGAATCACACATAGCAAGAGAAATGTGAAACAGATCAAAGTGCTGTCAAAACACAAACTGAAGTAAGACTTCTTTTTAAAAATCACAGAAACATAGAGCTGAAAGTGACCTCAAAGTTATGTCCACACTGCAGCTAGGTGGTGAGATTTCCAGCAAAAGTAAACAGGGTCATGCTAGCTCAGGTTGAGCTAGTATGCTAAAAATAGTATGGCTGTTGCAGCACTGATAGCAGCTTCAGCTAGCTTCCAGATTCCAAACCCACCTGACCCCTGACCCCAGGCAACTAGCAGCACTGATGGTGGCATGAGCAACATCCAACACTGCTATTGTAAGCATACTAGCTCAAGTTGAGCTATCACAGGTCTGTCTTACTCAAGCTGGAAATTACACTTCTCCGCTGCAGTGTACATAATCCTGCCTCAGCATGGCAGGGTGGGTAAAAGTATACTTGGACCCTCCTTGATGTAAGTTTATCTAACCTGTTCTTAAAAGCCTCCAGTGCCAGAGATCCCATAACCTCCCTAGGTAACCCATTTCCTTTGTTCTTTCCAGTTAACTGTAATGTAAGTGAAACTATCTTGACGCTGTCCCTTTAACAATCTAGTGATGCGTGGGGACCCCGGCAGACAACAGCGTGCCATTAAAAATCCTGCCTGGCCCACTCTTTTTCATCCACTGCTCTCTCCTTGCAGGACAGGCAAGCTTCCCCCTCCCCCCACCTCTTCCCTCAACATGCTGGGTTCCTGCCCCTCCTCTCCCTCTCTGCGGCCAATCAGCTGATGGCCCTTGCTACCGAGGGGGGAGAGGGAAAAGCAGAGCCGCAGCGCGCTCTCTGCTCCGGGGACCTTGGGGAAGGGGGTGGAATCAGGGCATATCCCCTCCAATGCCCCCACACCCATACCCTGACTCTTGCACCCTCCACATCCCCACCCCCACCCTGAGCACCAAATGGGAGCTCCTGCACACACACACATTCCCACTTGCACCCCTCGCACCAAATGGGAGCTTCCCAGGTAAGCACTCCACACCCAAACCTCCTGCCCCAACCCTGAGCCCCCTCCCTCATTCTAGCTCCTGGCCAGATTCTGCACCCCCAGCCCTGTTCTCAGCGCACTCCCACCCTCATCTCAGTGCACAGAGAGGAAGAGAATGGCTAGAACCAGGGAGAAGGTCTACTCTATGTGGACAGGGCCGGGATCCCAGACCGGCAGCGGGCTGAGCGGGGCCGGCACCAGGGACCCTGGCTGGCAGGAGCCAGTGGACGGAACCCCACACCGGTAGCGGGCTGAGCCGCTCAGCACGCTGCTGGTCTGGGGTTCTGGCTGCGGGCCCCTTGCCAGCCGGGGTCCCGGCCACAGGCCCCGCTCAGCCTGCTGCCAGCCTAGGTGAACGGAACTCCAGGCCGGCAGCAATTTAATTTTAAATGAAGCTTCTTAAACATTTTGAAAACCTTGTTTACATATGACAATAGTTTAGTTATATAATATATAGACTTATAGAGAGACTTTCTAAAAAATGTTAAAATGTATTATTGGCACGCGAAACCTTAAATTAATGTGAATAAATGAAGACTCGGTACACCACTTCTAAAAAGTTGCCGACCCCTGGTATAGGAAGTCTTAGCCAAAATTTGCAAAAAATGCATGCTTGTAGTTTGCTTCTGAAATTCATGTTTAAACACCTACTTAAGTGTCTGATTTTAAACATCTTCCCCCCCCCTTTCTATTTTTAAAGCTTGGCCCTAGTTTGTGGTCAGATGTACTTTTGTCTGCCCACTCCCCCACAAACATTGAACATTAAACCCATTTTCTTTCTTGCCAAGTTTTCAGTTATTGAAAATTCAGAGCTTAATCAAAACCACTAGAATATGTTATAAGTAACTATCCCTTACAAGGTGCATCTTGTAGTGGAATTTTGATTTACTTCTGACTGCTCATTTGTCTTTACTATTAATGCCACCTGATATGCTACAAGTGGACGTCACTAATAAATTACATTTCAACAGCTAAAATAGCCAATTAACTGTAATGTTAGGCTAGAGCAGTAGTTCTCAAACTTTTTTCCTGTGGACCACTTGAAGATTGCTGAGAGTCTCGGCGGACCACTTAATGATCTTTCCAAATGTTGTTTGTACTTAGCTAGCTATTGTAAAGTGCTTTGGATAAAAGCACTATATAAAAAAAACCCTAATAATAATTAGGTTTTTTTGTTCTACAAATAAAAGCACACAACTCATTTTAATATCAGTAGTCTTACCTTTCTAATGTGATGGATGTGCCTTCTCTCCTCCACCACAGCAATCACAGAGCTGAGGCTGGGAAGGAGGGCCGTCTCGCCCCGGCAGCCACCTCCCTGGAGCTGGGGAAAGTCGCCTCTTTCTCTGGCCATCGCAGCCCTGCACCTGCCAAATTCCCCCCATCCCCTCTCATCACCCCACTTCCCCCGCCCATCTACCCCCTATTCCCCCCCAAGGCTGACACCTCACCTTACACGTGCGTCTTCTCCAGGGTCCAGGCACCTAAGTAGTGGAGCCATGCCTGCACGGCTCCATTAATTAGGTGGGTGACCCTTCATTCTCTTGTGTGCGGCCATCCAGGCATGCACCTTAGAGGGAACTATCCATAGACCACCTGAATGGAGCTTGCGGACCACAGTTGAGAACTTCTGGGCTAGATCCCTTTTCAGTTTTTCAAATGCAGGCACTGCATGGGCCATGATTATAGATCTCTTCAACATAAAGATCTTAGATTCCACTAATTTCTCCAACATAACCACTTCCACACTAAATGTAACAAATTTATCATGGCCAGATAGCACTTATATAGCATTCCATCATTTGCAAAAAGCTTTAGAGGTGGGTAAATATTATCCCCCTTTTACAGATAAGGAAATGGAAGCACAGACTGGATAAGTGAGACTGCAAGTTACACAGGAGGTCAACAGGAGAACAGGAATCATACCCAAGTCTTAAGACTTCCAGTCTAGTGCCCTATCCACCACACCTGCTCTCAATAGAGCCAGCCTTAGCAGTGTGGTGTAGTGGATAGAGCACTGGAGTAGGGCTCAGGAGTCCTGGATTCTAGTCCTTGCTCAGCCACTGGCCTACTGAGTGAGTTTGAGGAAGAGAGAGGTGAAGTAACTTGCCCAGTTTCCCCATCTGTAAAATAGGCATAATGATATTGACCTCCTTTGTAAAGCACTGAGATCAACTGATGAAAAATTCCATATAAAACTAGGTATTATTAAATATGGGAAGGCCTGCAAGACAACCTTTTTACTGTCTCCTCACCACAACCATCCACCATAACCACAGCATTATTATTCATAGGGCTGGGAAAGTTCAGAGTTTTTTGGATTTTTTTTAAAGAACACATCCCTAACTTATTTTATATAAATGTCTGTGTCTCTACCTGTCTCCAAGAGAAGGGGGCTAGGTACCCCAAATTCCTGCCAAAGGTTATTTTTGTGAAGAACACATCTAGAAGGTTTTGTGTTTGGTGTTTTTCTTGAAGAAAAATGAAAGCTGGGACTGAATGTAAAAGAAAATCTTCAAAGTCTGTTAAGGAAACCAAAGCGGATATGGGGTGAGATGTAAAGTATTTTCATGGATTACAAACTGGCCAGGAGACAGGAATATGAACCCAATTTTCCACATGACAAGTTTGTCAGTGAGGGTGCCCCCCATTTCTACAATTAAGACCCATGTTTCATATGGATAGTTTGTTCCATATCTGCTCACTCACTATGCTGTTTCTTGTACACTATTCTGAAGTATAAGATGAGACACTGATCTGATCAATACGGAAATTCATTTCTTTCCTACGCTTCTACATTCTGCAACAGTAACAATATGCAGGAATGCTATTCTTTCGCTATTAACAGGTTTCATTAGAACCCAAATGTTTTCTGGATTACTCCTGATTCAGACAACAAAAGGGGTTATTGAGAAAGGAAAGGATAAGATGACAACATAGCAAATGTGGGCTCTTTTTCCCAGTTCTAACACCACCTCTGCAATGAGATCACAAAAAACAGAAAAGAATTACCTCCATCTCTTCCTCATCTTCAGTATCTGAAGGTTCATTGCACACTGCCAGCTCAAGCCGCTTAGTTTTATCTTTGCGCATAGCCTCATCTGCCATTTCCATTGCTCTTTTAATTTCAGGCTTTGAACTGTAAAACATACCTCCCCTCTGCGTTTCCCTAACCGCTGAGCCTACAAAACATGCAAATAATATGTCAGAACCTGAAGCAAAGTCCAGCCTGAGACCAGTCACCACTGTAGATGCTCACTCTCCGCATTTAAATAAATTATGTTCAGACCACTAGTATCATCCAGCATTTTTCAATCACAAGTCCAATATGACAAGTCCAACGTGAAATTATTCCATCTTACTGATTTTAAACATGTAAACTTATTTGTTCAGCATGAAGAAGTGGGGGCATGACATGCCTAAGAGAATAAGTTTGTATATGTGTCCAGTAAAATGTGTACTTAGTGCAAGAACACTGGATGAGTCTCACATTTCTACAGCTGATTGGTCTGAACATTTATCCAATTATAAGAGAACTATTTTCTGGATTTAGAATTTAATTGCAAATGCTGTATCTGACAGTACCTGTCATGGTTGGAAAAACAACATTTTACACTGGCAGCATGAGAGCTCAAATTGAGACCATGATCTGGGAATGGGACCTACTCAAATAGAACCTTATGCCCTTTCTGTGGATCACTTTAAGGAACTGGGGTTGAAGTTAGTAATCCAGCTTCTACCCACTGGCTTTTCAGTTAGAACAGAGGCCCCCAAACTGTGGGGCACACCCCCCTAGAGGGGCATAGAGGAACATCCGGGGAAGCATGGCCCGGGCCAGCCCCCATAGGGGGGTAGGGAGGGAGCACCACCCAGCTGCATGCCCCGTCCCCAGCACGACTCTGCTCCTGGCCCTACCCCTGCCCCCATCCTCAGCTGCAGCTCTAGTTCCCAGCCCAGGGCCAAGGCTGGTGGCAGGGCAGGGAGCAGAGCCGCACCTGGCCACGGTCCCAGCTGCCAGCCCCCACCACAGCCTGGCTGCAGCTCTGCCCCTGCCCCCAGCCTCCCGGCCCCATACCCACCCCTAACCTCTCTTCCCCTCCGCAAGCCACAGCCCCACTCCCAGCTCTGGGAGAGCACAGATGGGGTAAATGCTTTTGTTTGTTTACATTTACAGGAGATAATGCTGCCTGCTTCTTGTTCACAAAGTCACCTGAAAGTGAGAACAGGTGTTCTTATGACACTGTTGTAGCCGGCGTTGGAAGATATTTACATGCCAGATGTGCTAAAGATTTATATGTTTCATACTAAAGATTCATATTCCATGCAGATGACAGGTTCTGCTCGATAACAATCCAAAGCAGTATGGACCGATGCATGTTCATTTTCATCATCGGAGTCAGATGCCACCAGCAGAAGGTTGATTTTCTTTTTTGGTGGTTCGGGTTCTGTAGTTTCTGCAGCGGAGTGTTTCTCTTTTCTGACTTCCGAAAGCATGCTCCACACCTCATCCCTCTCAGATTTTGGAAGGCACTTCAGATTCTTAAACCTTGGGTCGAGTGCTGTAGCTACCTTTAGAAAACTCACATTGGTACCTTCTTTGCATTTTATCAAATCTGCAGTGAAAGTGTTCTTAAAATGAACAAGCTGTGCTGGACATCATCTGAGACTGCTATAACATGAAATATATGGCTGAATGTGGGTAAAACAGAGCAGGAGACATACAATTCTCCCACAAGGAGTTCAGTCACAATTTAATTAACACATTTTTTAAATGAGTGTCATCAGCATGGAAGCATGTC